CAAGTTACCATTGTTGCTGTTGTTGTTATGTTTTATAGTTTTATTCTACAAAAAGAAGAGACTATTTACAGTATTAGTTGTCATAGGCCTACAAAGTTATATTTATTGTTATCTGTTTAAAATTTTATTTTCAGTGTATTAGCCTATTTGTTGACACTTTTAAATTCTATCATATTATCAAATACATATTCTATTAAATTTCAATTTTGGGGCCCCTAAATTTTCTATAGTTACCATGAAATGAATTTATTAAAAGAGTCATTAGATATTTCATTGTTGTAATTTGTTAATTTAAAGGTTAAAACTGATTAAATTTACTTTGACTGAAATTAGCCTATTTTGAATTTTTTTAAATTAATGTTGTAAGTGAGTAGGTCAGAGTGGTATCAAAATTTTTTAAAGTTTTATTGAGAGTATTTAATTCATGTATTATTGTTAATTATTGTTGTGTTGTTCTTTTAAATGGTTAATTACAGCTCGTTTCTCTCAAATGGCGTGTTGTTCTTGAGCCTCCATCCATGGTTCTCATTTTGTTAAGTAAAGTTTTGTGAGCCGCTCCTCGGGCCTGCGCATGGATCACGCTTCCATTTCGTTAGTCTGGGGGCAGGCTCGAGGGCATGGTTCAAATCTAACAGCTGATCTAAGTAACAAAGCTACACAGATCACCTCACACCATTCTATACTCATCCTTCACTCATTTTTGGGTTAAAATACACATCTAGCGTCCCCATCTTAATGATTCAAAAATTGATAGTTGACTATAGTTTTGAACAACATTTTCATTGTCAATCGAACAAATTAGTAACATTATTTGTCAGTTTTATTTTGATTTAGATTCATTCACTGCTGTGGTAAAAAAACCTTTAGGGAAGCTTAAAACCAGCCAATTTGTTCAGAAACTAAATTACGACTTCTAATAGAGAATGAAATGGGTTGCAATTTCATTAAAAAGACAAAGAGAAAGTCAACGGCCTCGAAGGAACAGTTGACTGGAACTACTGAACCTTGAATTGTTTCCATTTCTCAAGGAATTTCCGAGCTGGAACACCCGACTATTTCCTTCCGGTGTAATATATTGAATATATATAAATAAAAAATCATGCTACCAATTCAGTTCTTGAATTTCTCTTTACAATCTATTAGATATAAAATTGAAAAATGGTAGTTGTGATTTGTAAAATAATCTTTAAAAATTCAGGCTTTAACATTTTATCTGGGGTTTATTTATTTTACTGACCTTTGCATGTCGTTTGACATGTGGAAACTCTCATGGTTAAAAATACTTGCGATGCCAGGAATGATAAACGGGCGTTATTACTAATGCGATGTCTATTTTGCAACATACGTTCATTGAAAAAATATAGCATTTCAAAAATAAAAATTTATCTCGTAATTAAAGTCGATACAATTCTAAAAAATGTTTGACGAATGAACAGTTTTATTTAAAAGGCTTTAAGAACCTAATTGTTTCGAATTCACTGACTGAGTGAAGAAATATCTGCTCTTGAGAATGAATGGTCATGTCTTGTTAGGTTGTCATACCATGTTTTATTCTGAGTTACCAAAACATACAAAAGCGTCCATACAATGCATACTAACATTTATGTATAGAAGCAAAGCTAAAATAATCTCAAAGCAGTTTTATATAGACATAAAATTTATTTCGGATTTTTATAAAACTATTTTAATAATTCGATGTTTATGCTCTTGTCCTTCTGTTTGATTATGCATTGATTTAGTCAATGCATATTCTATCCACGAAAACTAGGACTTACGTAACACAAACCGAAAAAATTATAGGCAAATTTTTTTTGTGCAAACCAAAAATTTGTCCGGAGATAAAATTACGACCTTTAATAGAGAGTGAAATGGGTTGTAATTATATTAAAAACCACAAAGAGAAAGCCAACGGCCTCGAAGGAATAGTTGACTAGAACTACTGAACCTTGAATTGTTTCCATTTCTCATTGAATTCGTATAGCTCATTAAATTTACAGCTGGAACCAACTACCAACTCACTCCTCGTCAAGTCACAAACGAACACTAATTTTAAAATATTTTTTTTAGGTGATTATCGGCATATTTATTTATTGACTAAAGGAAATCGTTGTAAGAGATATTTGCCATACTGTAGGTGAAATATTTAAACACACATTTTCTATAAACCTCAGATTAAATTATGTTTTCAATATTCTAATTATAAATGATTTTTAACTGACAACATTTACCATTAGTATTTAGGACAAACTGATTTATTAATCTGTGTGATATGTTTATACATTTCGAATTTAAGATTTGTAACTGAATGGGTACTCTTTGTTTTGTATTAGTTGGTTACAAAGATACAAAATTAAAAAAATTAAGGATATGGAAACCTTAAATAAACACCTAGCGTAAATATATAAAGTGGATTTTCTAGAAACTAATACTTTTCATAGAAGACTTAGTGACGTTATGAATAATGCATTCAACGATAAACTGAGCGGAAATTATATTTTACAAAATCACTTCGCACCTTAGGATAACCACAGGATATGACATTTTGTTGAACCGTATAACTTTGAAAAAAAATTAATATTAAAATTATCATGTATTTTCAAATACGTAACTATACTATTTATACGTATATAAATAATATACGTAAGAGTCCCGAAAACTGTTAATACGTAAAATCAATGTTTTTAAAGAGAGAGAAAAAAAAAACTATGAAAACGTCCCGGCGTTCTACCATGCCAAAAAGCTATTTTTGTCATTATATATCAACCTGGACCTATATATAATATATTCCATAACCATTATCGAATTATCAATTAGTTGACATGGGGATGCAAATATGAGTGAAAGGTTTATGTAGAATTGTGTGAGATGATCTGTGTAGCTTTGTTACTGACTAAGATCAGCTGTTTCATCAGTCAAGATCATTTATTTAAAGACCAATGGTCAGGGACATAATCATTAATGGTTATTACTCATCACGGACTAGATCACTATGGAAATTCTACAAAATGTACAAGGATGCAAACATGTACATTAAAGTCTTTCAGAATATTTGTATTACTAAAATTAATTTAGGATTGTAAATTAAATATTTTTTTGGAAGGTAAAAATCTCTTTTCGATTTTATAATGTTAGGGTGTAAAGAAAATTTACGAACTTTTAAGACTTCCCTAATGGAAAAAGAGAGGAAGTTGTTAAGGAGGTAATATACTGAATGAGAACGCCAACAAAGACCACTTAAAGAGGTTTGTTAAGTTCAATTTCAGTAAATTGACCTTCGCTCGTAACAGCTACTTATTTGTTATTTCTACTTTATTAGAATCTTTTACATAGAAAGGTCTTTGTTACTGTTCAGTTGTTTTGAAATATTATGGCTTAAAACAATAAGGCTTAAATGGTTGTATTATTTTAGGTATCAGCATTCATATTTTGTGAAAATACTGGGCACATGGTATCTTGTTGCAGGAATTGATAATCCTTTTACTATTATTAATATCAGATTAAAATGGCACAATTGTATTAATACGTTTTTAAAAATCCTGCTTTGGTTAAATATTTTACTTCATGAACTATTGGGCGTTTATAAAAGAATCATCAGGTTTTAAAGTCATGTACCTCAGTCAATTCTTGTCCCTCATTAATATTTGAAACATGTGCTTAAAAAGCATGTTTCCATGTTTTATAATAAGCTGTTCAATAATCAGTCTTGGTTTTTTTCTTGAACTTGTTTCTGTTTGCATCATTTTCAAAATGATTACAATTATTCAAGAAAAAACATTTTGTGTTTTCCATTATGACTCAAGTTCATCTTTAATTATTGTCCAGTGTGAGTTTCAGAGGCATTTTAGACAGATTTCTCCTACTTACTAAAGCATTTTAAGGTGGTATCGCTAGTTTTAGAAATCTGCCTCATCCTCCTCATTAATATCTATATGTTCGTCATTTCAATGAGAAGCTACCTCAGAGGTGGATTGGCAGATGTAATGACTTGACCCTTCTCAAATGGCCCCATAGATTTCCTGATCTTACGGTGTGTGATTTTTTTCTATGGGGCTATGTAAAAAAACGCTTCAAGAGCACAGTGGACGAATTCGCAATGCCGTAGAATCAATCAAACTTGCGATGCTATCCGGTGAATGGGACAATTTACAGCATAAACTGGAATCTTGCTCCATGGCTAATGGACGGCACATTGAGCAATTGTAGGGGTACCTATGAAACATTTAAGAGTTATCCTTTTTGTTGATATGTTTTATATCAGTATTTGTTTAACGTTAACGTCAATAAAATGTTTTAAAACCTGATGATTCTTTTATAAACGCCCTGTATTTTTAAGTATTTGATTTATATCAAGATCTAATACTTTTTTCATATTTTTTTTATTTTACCACTGCCTTAAAACGTCCTTTAAAGAAGCATGCACGTTGTGCTTCTTTTTTTTGTAAAATATACTTTATTATGATCACTTAGTTCCCAATTTAGACTTCAGAGTTATTTTCTCTTGTAAAAGGACGACTAAGTTTTCTTAATATCCGATGATGAAGGTAAATAGTTTAAATATACAGTTTTGTTTAAGATAAAGTAGTAAAGGAGGGACTCGGGGAGCGAAAACTATTTTTCTTATATTGATTAAGTGTGGGGTTTATGTCAATGAGGTCGCGGGTTCAAATACCTCTAATCACAATTGTTAACTAATGATGTAACCACCCTCCGATCCTAGCCTGAAGAAATTTGTTAAACAACCCTTTTAGAGTCTAGCGTGTTATTAGTCAATGTTTTTATTGTCTAGGACAGGAAGATATGACATACAAATTGGGACACCTTTTATCATCCGATACTATACATTGAATGCCATCAAGGTCCTCTGATATCACTTCCATGTGTTATCTCAAGCTAGATAATGACGCAATGACCATGACATTACCAGAGCGCATGTGCGATTTTCTATGCGAACTTCGCCCACCAATGCTACCCGACGCCAAAATACAGTCCGCCACGACGCGCCGCATAGTTCACAACGTTTCTCGTCCTTAACGTTGAATCGCACGCGTACCTAAGACAAACCACGAGTTATGCAGTTAAAATGTTTAAGCGCTCTATACTGATATTAGCTCTACCATAAACTATTAGTTGTTTGTACACTGTACATTTGGTAACTACTCTATAATATTGGTTTAGAATAGATCTGCGAGATAAATTTCTTCAGCATTTGAGCCAATTTGAGTTTTAATTTGGACAGAAGCATCGGATTTCGGATCGTTTCGAAGAATTTAAAGTGAAATTTTATACTTGCAGTACGGATTTCATCTGAGGTAAGCTTATTTTTGTATTTTAGTTAGTTATATTTGAAATATTTTTAATATTATTAGCATTGTAAGAAGTTACTAATTAAAAGTACATTTTTACCTATTCTTAACTGATAATAGTCAAACTATGGGTTTTATTATAAAACGTAAATTCAAAAGAAAATTCTTTATATCGCTGTTATGACCTGGTTCCCTGTTATAAAAGACTTGAATAAGAAAAAAAAAATGCTTTGCAAGTTACACTATGAGAAGAATAATGAAGTAAATAGTACTTTATTTTAAAATATGGTGATGTGTTGAAGTTTCCCGTCTATTATTCCAGTTGTGGATAAGGTTTGTGATGACGACGTTTGTTTACTTTTTAATTGATTTAAAAAAAACTTAAATTGGTTATTGTAAGAATATTGGAAAATTTCTGAGCCGTACCAATGTTAATAAAATATACCTTATATCATTCTATAAGAAGCTATATAAGGGTACATAAAAAACAAAAATTTTAATGGTTTGAAAGGTATAAAAAATGTGAACGAAAGATTTTTGAAAGCACAAGACACTAACTTAGTAGTCTTCAGTTAATAAATTGTTTATAACTATAAATTTTAAAATATTTGTTTAAATGTTATATACGACCAGTAAAAATAAACCATCAGCATTTCATGAATACCCTTAGAATACTTTATGAATACTTTAGAACTGCATTTCTACAATACTTCATGTTAATGCTCGTAATAAACTTAAAACTCGATAACTGCAGGTGTTACTAGAAAAATACTAAATTTATGCCTTTACTTTTAGTAATTGTATTCAATATAACAATATGTTGGTAATTTAGCAATCATAACTTAACACACCATTTATTTAAAGGTAACTATTATAATAAGAAAAATCAACGTCAATCATTTATAGATGGTAACTTGTTTTATGCAAAGACATACTGAAACATCACTGTTACACAAATAGTTCTGTACGCTCGGGACTTCACATAAACCTACTAACTAAGACTAATTCTAAGACCAATGTTTGTTGTCTTCGTCCTTCAGTTGGTAAACCAATCTGTTGGTGAAGCCAAAACAACTTCTGTCATGAAAATACAAATCTAAATAAACAAATCAGTTATATATTTTACAATCTAACGGATAATAGATTATGGCAATGTTTTATTACATTTGCTTCATTTGGTAATTTTCCATGTACATATATTAATTACGTTTCTAGAAACTTCTGAGCTTCTAGAGTTGTAATAAAAATATACTATACATAATAAAAGTTCAATGCACATTAAAACCCACCAGGTTATAATTAGTATTGTTACCGAATTAATGAAAAGAAAATGTACATGTTGATTGCTTTTGGGGCAGATGCGTTATTAATGGTTTTGAAAACTACAATAAACAAACAATGAATGTACACCACGAAATGCAATTTCAGTAAATACCTGAAAACACCACAAAGTCTCATGATTACATTTGTCCTTTGTGTATAAATTGCTTTGTTCTTTCACCCAAATTGAGCGTTCAATACATATAACTTTTGAAATAGAAACAAAATATTATGCAAAATTATTTGATAAAAGAAATTTTTAAATAAATATAATGTGGTTTTTAAAGTGAACCATACCTACTTAAATTAACGATTGTCGTATTTTATTAATGTTGAGCTGAAAATCCAACTGTTTAAACATCTATAATAATGAAATATAATATATTAATAATGCGGGGATTTCAGTAAGAAAGTGCAGAGTGTTTTGGTTTATGAGGCTTTGGGTTCAAATACTACAAATGGGAAATATCTTTAGGCTTGTGAAATTGTCCAGCCCTCCAGGTCTAGCTTACAATGTCGGGTTCTAAAGGTGTTACGAAAAGAAAATGAAAAAAAACTTAAATTTTCTGGCTGCAGTTTGTTACTCATGAGTAATTTTTGTCAATATAATTGTGTAGTTCCAATATTACACATACTTAATAACTGTTACTACACTGTTTTAAATTATTTGATTAAAAAAATCAATTTTTGTCATTTGTATCATAAAGTTAATAGTTAAATATTATTAACTACACTTCTTTTACACATTCCATGTATTCTACCCTTCCAAATATTTTGGAAACAAACAACAAATAACCAATCAATGACAACACGCTTGTCAGAGGCAATGAATATGTAAATGAAATCAAATTATTTGTTGGCAATAAAGTAAAACGAGCTGCGCGTCTAGCCAGAGCTACAACACCCACTTGTACATTATTCATAACATTTTGTCGCTTGAAACATGATGAAGTGCACTTTGGCTCTAAACCTCAACTCTTAGAGCTTGGTGAAAACATTTGCATGAATATTGCGCTCAACTTTGCCAAATTGTATCTAGAAAAACCACCAAGGGATTAGCAATTTGTTGTGTTGCTTATATTTATCAGATTTTTGTGAAATATAAATAGATCATAGAATTATTATCACCAGAGGATTTAACAAAATGTCTAAAAGTACTACTACAGTTCTTCCAGGTTCAGTAAAAAGCTCAATTTGTTTTATATACAAGTATTTAACGTTTAATAAAAAAAAAATATTATGTCTGTTATTATTTTAATCACATAATCTTAAACGGTCAAAACGCATTCCAGGTGCGTATTTTGGCCGAAAGAACAGCAAATTGAAAGCGTAGAATTAGGTAAATTAATTTGAGAAGTTTTTTACTGATTAACCAGTTGTTTCATTAACCTCGGCCTTTTCTAAAATTCCCACTTAGCTAGAACCATTTAAAGCCATAAAAATTGTCAAACTTTATCAGTATGGGCAACCTTTGAAATGTCAGAACAATTTTTTATTCAGCTACTCAGTTTTTTTTTCTTATCTACGTCACTAGCGTTTTAGAGAAGACGAAAGAGAGAGTGTCACCCAAATGCTTTTTAGGAACATTTTCTAAACCCACATGTTTTTTGGGTGTGCAAGAAATCGAACCATTCCCTCTTCCACCGAAGTCCGTGTAGCTAACCACTAGGCTAGAAAAACACCTGATGTTTTACAACTATTAGATTATGTAACATTAACAGTGAACCACGAATACAAAGGATGAAATATTCATGCGTTAACTGGTGAAAAACAGACTTGCGTGTCAACAACAATGGTGAATTATCTACGTTTACAACACGGACGGCTGTGTTAACAACACCTGCATTTTCGCAAAAGATAAGGTTGGAGGCGTCCTCAAAGTGACATAAAAAACACGTTTCTTTCACCAACCAAGCTAATTTTTGATTAACTTATTTTACCTGTTGAAAAAAAAATGTAAATACTTTTGAAACTCTATTTAACAAATTCGTGTGTGGTTTTGAGGGCCAGGGGCATAGAAAAATCGTCGATTGGTTACGTAGGATTTTGTAATTCCTTATTTTTCAGCCCATTGAGTTTAATTCGTCTTAGCACATACGTTTTTTCGGAAACTGTCAAATGACAATAATGTAGTCAAATTACAAAAAACCTTTTATTTAAGTTAGTAATAATTTACCTTCACTTGATAAACCATAAACACATTGTCAAGAAATATCATTGGGATGATATTTTAATAGACGTAGGCCTATAGTGTTAATTCCCCAGTTGGGTCTAGTTTTTATTAGACCATAAAAGTCCGAGTCATTATTTTGAGGCTTATGGTAAAAAAGTGTCAGGATATTAATAATCCATTAAAGGTTAAACCATTAATCAACTGTAATATTTACTACTTTACTTAATTTTTGCGTGTTGTGTCTGAATAATTGTTTTAATGAATGGTATAGTTTCTAGTAAGCAGGTTAAAGTGAATACTAGAACACAAACATTATTTTTAGTCATAAAGTTGACAAAAGTTAAGGGTAGCAAGGCAACATGGAAAGCGCCGGATGGAAGTTGGTCATTGTCAAAATAACGGAACTTGTTGAATAAAACCAGGTGCTACGTCAAGCAAAGTATACCCTGCCTGCGAACATGTTTCAAACTCGTATATGAAATGCAATAAAAACAATCAAGTTAGTGTAATGAAAGTATAAATTTCACTAAAATCTTTCAAGGCGGTTTTCTTTGTATACACATAGTAACTTAATGTGCAGTGGTTATTGTTCGTCAACCAGGAAAACCTGACCTTTTCAACCCAATCTTTTTCCATTTACCGGATTGGATTTTCACTTAACCTGTAATTACAATTTTCGTATTTATTCCCTTTTTTAATAACAATGAGTAATATAGGTTTACCGCTTCAGGTAAGTTTATGAAGTGTTTTTTACATCAATGTTAATACCTTAGTATAAGAAATAAATAATAAATTTGACAAAATCTACCAAAATGTACTCACAAAGATGAAAACTACAAAAAAATTGTCTTTTATCCATAAGGAATTCTTAACGTACAGTTTTTTTTATTTTTTTTGTGGGGGGTTTGAAACCTTTAAATACACTAAATGATCTAACATTTAGCAATTAAGAGTCTTGGATAATTTTAAACAGCTGCTGAAGAGTTATTTATTGCCCGAAAATATCTTTCAAACATCAAAGTGATTATAATTTAAATATTTAGTACACTGTGAGATTAAAAATGTTCTTTGTGGTTTCGGATTTGCCCACCACAAGAGCAATGGTAATTTTGTAAATTTCAAACAGTCACTGAAGAGTAATTTACCAACTCAAAATATATTTTCAAACGTCAGAGTGATTGTAATTCAAATATCTAGTAGGCCTATACTGTGAGAATTGAAATTTTCTATGTAGTTATTCAATTGTTTTACGAGTTAGAGCTTCTAGGCTCCAAGGACTGTGGAGGCTACAAAGATAAATACATTCAAATGATTCTATTAAAAATAGAAATCTTTAATCGTCTAGAAGCTTTCAAGTAAAGTGTTTATGACTTTGCATCTAAGAGCCTTTGAAGATCGTAGGCACGTTTTCGCCAACCATAAACCAACGCATGCAATCTGTGTGAATTGTCAAAGTAGTCAACTCTCTTTTACATTATTCATATCGTCGCCTTAGAAAATCTCGAGTGCTTCG